TGATTGGTAAAGAAAAAAAGAAAATACGACCCAGTAAAAATAATTTTTCAAAAAACCTTGCGTGTGTAAAAATTTGCAAATGCCAAATAAATTATTATTATTATTAATTTGCAATTTTAAAATTTAAGTATTTTTCCATGACGACAATCATCATCATCATCATCATCTCCTTCAAATCATTTTCAAAATAAAATTTATAATTAATGTCTTAAAGGTAGTTTTTTTTTTTTAAATTTAAAATCCCGTTAAATATATAATAAAATTTTTTAAGGAGGTTATAGTAAATGTTCTGAGTCAATCATATCCTTAACATGATAGTAGTAGATCAACTTTAAACCCTCGAGTCGCCATGCAAAAAATTCTACTTTTTTATAAATAAATTTTTTTAATATTAAAATTTAATCATTTTCACAATATATAAATACAAACCTTTTGGCATAAATTTAACGTTATTTTCATCACGCGAAAAGGGAAAGAAAAAAAAAAAAAAAACAAATTTTCCCCCCTTTATGAATTAACTTTTTTTTTTTTTTTTTTTTTTTATAATTGATGTTAAAGTAATTTATGCAAATAATAATAATAATAATTGGAATCAATTAAAAAAAAAAAATCAATTACCCACAAGATTTGATAAAAAATACCTGCTGCGCACAAATTTTTCTCTTGTTTTAGGTCGTAATGTTTAACATTATTCGTTTTGCAATTCCGATAAGTAATAATTTCATTGACTAATAATAATAATAATTCGATAGCCTAAAACTATGTTTCATAATAAAATCAATCATCATCATCATCATCATCATCGGTAATAATTTTTAACATTTACGAATGAAAAACAACAAATCAAAATTACTATCTTTAATTATTATTATTATTATTATAAGGTTCAAAAATTCAAAATATTCAAATCGTGAGCCCTGACCAGATAAGAAGAAAAATTAAAGAAAATTTTTTTTATCAATGGTAACTAATATACCGAAAAATTGGGATTCTTGTACGAAGCGGTCCGTCAAAGGAAGAGAAAAAAAAAAAGAAAAAGGAAAATGAAAACTGATTAAAGTATACACGATAAGAAACACAAAATTCTGATACTAACATGTAAGAATACCTAATAGAATAATACATCTTGGTTGTTTCGCAATGAGAATGAATGCCTGTTTGTTTGTATACAACGCCACAAGGATTTCAATGACATAACCTGAATTAAAATTGGGCAACGTTTTGCGATTGATTGAAAATCATCACCACTACCACCACCGCCATTACCACGACTAAATCACGTAATTTTAACATTTATATGTTATTGGCGTAAATAAGAAAAAGAAGATACTTCGTACATCATTCCAAAACGATCGTGTTTGAAAGGGGAGCTCTATTCTGAAAATCAATTACTTTTGCTGTTTCACACGAAAACAAAAAAAAATTAAAAATGGAAAACATGTTGTAGGTCGCAAAATTTGAGACGTAAAAGGACTCGAGGCAACATATTCAATGTCTTGGCAAAGAAAAAAAACAAATTTATTTATATCAAAACAATATTTTCTAAATTTTCAAGTTCAAGATTTTTCAATCAAATGAAAATGCCGGTAGGAAAAATATGATAAAGAAGTGAAATGGAGAGAGAGAGAGAGAGAGAGAGAGAGAGAAAAAAGAAAGAAAACTGGTTAGGTGAGTGGCTTCTATAAAC